TGCCCGACCTGGCCCCGTGGCGCGGGCGTGGGGAAGGGGCCTGGCGTCCGTGTTTGGAGGCAGAGATTTGCCTTGCACCAGGGGGTGCCTTGGCCTCGGAAGGCAGAGAGGATCTTGGAAAGGGTAACTCGAAGCTGCAACCTGTTGAGCACTTGATAGTTTCCAAAGCCCTTTCATATATATATGATTTTCCAGGGCTTCATGTCAACGTTGGCAAAGCAGCAGGGATTATTGATCGCCCATCAGGACACATACAGAGTGAGTGCAAGAGAGGGAAAAAGGTTATAAATCCTTTCCTCGCACACGCTCTCATACACACCCCAACATACAGGCATCTTCCTACCCCTTTAGGAAACTTGGAAATAAATGGGGTGGAATGAAGGAGGACATTGGCCATCAGAGATCTGGAGATGGGAAGAAATCACAGGTGGCAGACTTCTCTCAAGAGGGAGGGATGGAGGGAGGGACGGAGGGAGGGACCTTCTCAGAACCTCTGTTTTGGTCACGCTTTGGGGCAAGGGTCTTAACCACCTGCGCAATGATGGGGTCAGCCTGTTGTGCTTTTCAAGTGGGAGAGATGGACTCCGGGTTTGTGGTTCGCGTGTTATCCAGGGTCCCCCGAGAGAGTCACTTGTTGCTTTGGGAGATAAACACTGGCTATGGGATTTGGGGCATAGCGCTGAAAGGTTTCCATCCCTCCTGGAGGGTCTTGTTTCTTCCCCTTTGCTTCCCTGTCCCTTTAGCCTCCCAGGGGGGCTTTGTGCATTGCAGGTAGCCAGGGCAACAAGTAAGAGCTGGACCTCTAAGCTCTAGGAGGAGCGCGACTGCAGGGGGCCTTGCTTGCTGGGAAGGAGGCCAGAGAATGCACACCCCCCCACCCCCACCACCACCAAAACAGAGGGAGAGGGGATGCAGGTGGGAATAGATTTGGTTTACCTTTTGCTTACCGTGATTTAAATGGAATATCTGCGGGGTTTTGAATTCTCTGATCACAGTTAAGAGAAACCTAGAGAGGCTTCCGTGTGCACTTCGCAGAACCTGAGGAGATGTTGCTCCTTGGACCCCGGAGCAGCATGATCCATTATTGCTGCTGCCCACGTGCTGGAAACTTAGACGTTTTATGAATCCATAGTAAACACAACAGAAGTCTTTTCCATTTGTTCAGTAGGTGTTAAATTCCTAGGAATGTATGAAACTCAACTGTTAGAGGAAAGCGACTGGGTGAACATCACATATATGCGTGTCATTTGTATGGTTGCTAAGCATGGGGAACGTGTGACTATAACGTTCTCTGTGGTCATACTGGATAAGCTCTTCTGAAATGTCTTTAGGGATTCACATGCTAAAGATTAGACTCAGAAAAGGGTGTACAGTGGAAGAAAAGACCCGTTTTGGGGAGGGTCATTTAACAGTTGATGCTGTGCAGAAAAATACTACTTTCTTCCCTTCCTTCCCCCTTTGTGATCATACACCAAGTAGTGTTTTCCTGGGTCTCAGACTGGCTGCTAATGTGGAAAATTTGTGAGGGTTGGAAACCAAATGGTTCTAGAATCTAGCTTCTAAAACTTTGTAAATGCATAGCTCCCTTAGCCTAAGGTAAAACACAGTGCTGTATATGAATTGAAGAAGGGGTTCTGAGCTTAGTCCAAGCACTACAAGAAGTAGTTGTCATCCTAATTCCTTTGGACTCTCCCTTGGGAACAAAAAGGGGAGGTTAGTCTAAAACAAATACATGGACATTTTTCCCCTTACCGGAAAATATATGCTATTCAAGTGTGGTATTTAATTTGACATATGAATATATATTGAGTGGCTGTCACTAAAGAAGACACTCTACTAGGATGTGTATGAGATACAAAGATGCACCAGATTTCATTACACTTTCCATTTGTAAATCTAGGCAACAGAAATAAAATGTTTTAATTGGCAAATAAACTCCTAATACCAAGAGGTATCTATAAGTGAATTCTAGGATTATTTACCAAATCTTTAATTGTATTAATCCACTTAGCCTCACGTGTTTTAAAGTGGATTTTCTTATAACTTATGCACCTGTGCCCTTTATCATAGGTCCCAAAATAACACTTTCAGTAGGTGATCCTTCTACTCACTGTTCACCTAATTAGAAGCACAGTACTACTGGTAGGAGGACATTGACATTGAATGGTACAGTGGTTATTTACTTTGAATGTTAAGCAGCACTGCCCAGATGGTGTCAGTTACTCTAAGGTTGCAGTGACAATTGCAGGCATCCAGATTGTGTGTATTTTTAGATGCCTTCACATGGGGTGGAGGGAGAGAAATTGAGGTAATCCCAATTAAACTCAATCTGCATTAAAGAAGTCATGAATTACATATTTAAATAAGACATTATCCTACTGGCTTTTAAAATGCCAATAAAGAGCAAGTTTCACCATCCCTTTCACTGTAACAGCAGTAGCAGTGATTGATACTGAGGGTCTACCAATTAAGTTGACCGATTCCATATTTTAGTAAAATTTGTAAAGACTTAGACTTCCTGCAGCTGCCAACACTAGTTTATTTACTCTTTTGGAATAGTTTGTTAAAGACATCACTGATGTCAACATCACTAGTACACTAGAAAGTTCATTATGTGTAATTTTTAGAAAATCAGATTTTCACAGTCTTTTTACCACTGATTTTCCCCTCCCCTTAAAGAGATATGTTTGCCTTAGCTGGTTTGGCTCAGTGGATAGAGCGTTGGCCTGTGGACTGAAGGGTCCTGAGTTAGATTTCAGCCAAGGCCACATGCCCAGGTTGCAGGTTCCACCCCCAGTAGGGGGCGTGCAGGAGGCAGCCAATCAATGATTCTCTCTCATCATTGATGTTTCTATCTCTCTCTCCCTTACCCTTCCTCTCTGAAATCAATACATATCTATAATAATAAAAGTGCAATATGCTAATTAGACCGAACGGCCGAACAGTGGAATGACTGTCCAGATAACCTTCTGGACGACCTTCCGGACCACCTTCTGGACAAAGCCGGGGCTGCAAGGGAAGCCCAGGTCCTGGGTGCCAGAGGGAAACCAGTGCCGGCAGAAGGGGGAAGGAAGGCCTGCTCTTGCACAAATTTTGTGCATCAGGCCTCTAGTATATATATAAAAAAGATATGTCACCCACTAAATCATCATAATGCACAATATGATTTAATACTAAAACACAGGAAAAATACAAAACAATATATTGGTCTCAAATATTATTTTTTAGGTATACTGTGACTAAATAGATGTAATATTTTCTGAGCTGGATTTGGGTTCATTTCCAGTCAGTCTTTAATTACTGCTCCATGTCCAAATGCTTTTAAAGTTTTAGAAAACTAGGTTGTTTGCAAGGCAGACCTCATAAATCATAGCTAACCAAACCCACTTAAACTTAGTCATATCACAATTGTATAGATCTGGCTTAATATAAATAGTTGAAATAAACATTTAATACATCAATGATTTAATTTTGCATTTTTTCACTTTTAATTTGAAACTAAAATTTTAAAATAAAAGTTTAGATGTAGTGCTGAGTAGGCAAATGGCAAAGAATTTCATTGAAGTTAATTATTAAGAAAAGAGATGGCTATGTGAAATTTTAAAAGTTACATCATGATTTTCCTTTGTGATTAAGAAATTTAAATTTTAACAAAAGAGTTTAAAATGAGTAAGGGGACTTCATAAGTTTTTCTCTACAGACATAAAGCAATGATTACTCAGTTAATTTATTTATAATTTTTATATCATTAAACTGCTGAGTTTTACACATCTAATCAGTGTATAAAGAATTACAATTTAGAAACAGTGGAAATTTTTCCTTGTGACTTGTAGATTTGGAAAAAAGCAAGTAAACCACAATGAATTCAGAAGTATGGACCATTTGAAGAAGATGTATAAGAGGATTTTGTCCTTCCTCTCCATTGTCACTCCACTGATGAATGACCTGGTTCTACTATTTTGGTCTCATTTTTGCTTGCTTATCAATACATGTTGTGCTTTATCTAATTTTCTCTAAAGATAAATGGACAACTCCCTTCAAAGGCTAAACAGGTCCCAGCAAGCATCTAATTTTCTTAATTCTAAAACATCAATATTTTTGCAGTATTAGCAGGATATTTTCTCTTGTAACAAATTAAGATCCGTAAGTTCTCTTTATTTAAGCAGTAAGTCTCTGACATCTGATTCTTACAAGATTGATTTTATGTACAAAGTATATAGCTACCCATTTTATTCAAATCACATTTTCTTTAAAGCCTAATCATTATTGTAATTTTGTTTCATGGCAAAAAATAATGTTATTTTGGGGGTATATCTGCATTCATTTGTTGAATAAAATTCTGGCAGAAAACAAACATCATAAATATTTAATAAAATTTCCAATGCCAATTAAAATGATCTATACTTGGAAATGTAATTGTGTTCTTCCTGATTTACATTTTAATCTACTAATGATGTGCGCATTAAGTCAATAGAATATAACTCTTTGAGGGCAATTGTTTGTTTACTATTTTGTCCTTAGTGCCTAGAAAAATCCGTGGCTCCTAATAGAATCTCAATGAATGAATAGTTGAATCAATGAACTTGTCCTCAAGAAGCCTCAACTTTCTTATTTATAAAATTATGGGTGGTATTTAATAATCTCCAAATCACTTTT